CAAAACCCACCACCTGTCCTCTTGACCCGTGCCCGTCTTGGCTGATTAGAGCGTGTCCAGACGAGGTGCGGCCCCCCCTGGGTGATATTATCAATTTGTCCCTTGGCACCAGGATATTCCCAGGGGAACTGAAGGAGGCAGTGGTGCGCCCGCTCTTAAAGAAAACATCATTAGATCCCTTAGATCTATCCAATTACTGCCCGGTTTCGAATCTTCCATTCCTGGGTAAGGTGATTGAGAGAGCGGTTACTGAACAGCTTGGTAGGTTTTGGATGAAACATCGGCTCTGGATCCATTCCAGTCCGGCTTCCGTGCTGGTCATGGGACCGAGACGGCTCTGGTCGCCCTAACAGATGATCTCCGCAGGCAGCTGGATCGAGGCGGGTCGGGGCTGCTGATTCTTCTAGATCTGTCAGCAGCCTTCGACATGGGCGATCACGAACTCCTGGACCACCGCCTTGCCGAAGTGGGGATCTAGGGCACAGTCCTTCAGTGGCTGCGCTCGTTTCTCTCTGGTCGGGGACAGAGGGTGGCGCTTGGGGGGGAATTGTCATCGCGCCACTCCTTGGTGTGTGGAGTGCCTCAGGGTGCGATTCTCTCCCCGATGCTTTTTAACATCTTTATGCGCCCCGTTGCCCAGCTTGTCCGGAGTTTTGGGCTGGGTTGCCATCAGTATGCCGATGACACCCAACTCTATCTGTTGATGGATGGCCATCCTGACTCGGCCCCAGACACACTGACCAGATGTCTGGAAGCTGTGGCTGGATGGTTACGTGGGAGCGGGTTGAAGTTAAATCCTTCGAAGACAGAGGTCCTCTGGCTGGGACGGGGCAATATGGGATTGAGGGGGCAACTCCCATCTCTTGCGGGGGCGCAATTAGTGCCAGCATCGTCCGTTAAGAGTTTGGGTGTAATCTTCGATACCTCCCTCTCTATGGAGGCGCAGATTACAGCTATAACAAAGGCGGCATTTTTTCATCTCCGCCAAGCTAAGCCGTTGGCTCCTTATCTCTCTCGCCCTGACCTAGCCACTGTGATCCACGTGACGGTCACCTCCAGACTGGATTATTGTAACTCGCTCTACGTGAGGCTACCCTTGAGACTGACCCAGAAACTCCAGCGGGTGCAGAATGCTGCAGCGAGACTCCTTGTGGGGTCTTCGCTGCGAGATCACATTCATCCGGTACTATACCAGCTGCACTGGCTCCCGGTGGAGTACAGGATCAGGTTTAAGGTGCTGGTTTTAACCTTTAAAGCCCTATACGGCCTAGGACCCTCGTACCTACGGGACCGCCTCTCCTGGTATGTCCCACAGAAGAACTTACGGTCTGCAAATAAAAACATCCTGAAGATCCCAGGCCACAGAGAGGTTAGGCTGGCCTCAACTAGAGCCAGGGCTTTCTCGGCCGCGGCTCCAATCTAGTGGAACGCTCTGTCACAAGAGACTAGGGCCCTGCGGGACCTGACATCTTTCCGCAGGGCCTGTAAGACAGAGCTGTTCCACCAGGCCTTTGGTCAGGGCACAGCCTGACCCCCTCCTCTGGCAATCTGCACAGAATTTTGCTTAATGGTTGCCATCAATTTGATTTTAATTAATTTTTATAATGAAAGGTTTTTAGAATGTTGGATTATTTTGATTGTTGTTAGCCGCCCTGAGCCCAACTTCGGCTGGGGAGGGCAGGGTATAAATAAATAAAAAAAAATTAATTACTATTCACAGCCCCAAACAACAACAGTAACTGAATAACAACTTCTTAATAAATGAAATGGTGGCAGGTTTAAAACTCCCAAGCAGGTTTTTGAAGTCAGATATGTGGCTTCAGCACAGCCCTAGTATTAACCAAGGAGGTGTGGAATGGTTCAACTTTGCTGGGATTTTGATGCCAGGTTAAAAATATACTTGTTCTCCTGGACATTTGTTGGAATTTAACTGAAGTTGCTCAATGTTCTTAAGATATTGTTGGGTTTTGTATAATGCATTATTTTGTATTATTTGGAAACAGCTGTGATGCTTCTGTAATCCCCCCCCCCCCAAGAATAATTTGCACTGGCATCTATTGCATTATTTCCCAAGATAAGTCAGATTAGTGCAGAAATTCCCATAATAACCAGTGATGCTTATTGTGAAATTGCTATTGTGGGCACTTAAATGCTGCTACTGCCTTTAGTAGTAGCAAAGTAATACTACAATAATTCAGTCACTGGAATGAGCCCAGAAGTTACTGATGGAAGAATAAGGTGAAAGCTCAGGTGTTACTTCCCATCAATGGGTGACTAGAATGTTGGCTCTTAAAGACAGGTAGATGTAAAAAAATGATTGACTGCAAGATTAAGCCTCTCTGCAGGATGCTAAAAAGATATCATCTGTCCAATTTTAAAATATCAGCTGTCATAACCACACAAAACCTTATTCCTTGAGAAATTTGATGCTGTTGTTAGTGAAAGAAAGTGGAATTTTAAGCAAAGAGGTCAACAAATGTTGTGAATACTGCCCGAATGTCATATAGTGCTTTTTTATTGTTTAACATATTCTCCTTTACAAATTAAGTAACTGATTGAGTTGGGAAGGTAAAGGGATGATGTAGGAGATCTTAATTCCATTTTGAAACATTTGCAGTAAATTCCAGACTAATCAGTTTCATTCTACTTTTCTTATTGGCATACTATGTTATAAAACTTTAATTAGAAAGTGCAAATCTACCTAATCATTTACCCATTTGCAGGCACTTCCAATTGATTCTGAATCCACAAGGGTTTGCCTGCAAAATATTTTTTTTTACTTAAACTTCACTGCTGTTTTGGAAACCACAGCTTTCCTGTGCCCCTAGCAGCTCTTTGACTTCTAAGACCATCCAAGGTTTCATTTGGAAGGCCATGGACATGAGCATGCTTTGTAGTGGGTGCTTGCCAGTGGATCTGTGCCAACAGCTGTTACTTTGTTCATTTCAGCTTGAACAGGTATTACTGAGAAATAGCCAACATCCACACAGATAATGAGAGTCCCAAAATTTCTATCCAGGTTTCATCACATGGGGGAATTAAATTGTTTCTCCCAAATCTCTCTTAGCATCATAGAAAGATGGGTGGATTGGTGCTTATACATGTACATTATCCAGCGCACAGCTGAAAAATGTATCTGTCTCTGGCAGGGTCCTTTTACAACTTAGTTGGTGCATATTTAGAATTGGAAATGTCGGACTGTCTGCTGTTCTTGTTTTGTCCTTTATTTAAAGCCTGGTTTCTGACTGAAACGTTCAGAACAAGATAGTTATTATACTCTGTGAACTTAATTCAAGAAAGTATTGTGTTTTGTGAATAGTTTGAAAACGTACACAAAAACATATGGCTAAAGAAGCATTTCTACTTTCACAATGCATGCTTGCAAAGAATTTGATGGATGGAAGTAGTGAACAAGGCAGATGGGAAACATGTGGGTGGACAGAGATGGGAATGGAATTTTGAGCACCACCTTTTGGGAGGGTGTGCAAATCTAGGCTGTTAAAGTAGATTTATCACAGTTGTGCCTCAGAAATCATGGTGTGTGTTGTGGGTGTGTTGGTGTCTGTGTGTGCCAATTGGAAGTTAGATATTGATGTGGTCTGTAAAGCTGCTCTGTAGCTTTTTTCCACATATATTATCATATAGTGGTTGAGCAATTTACAACATAAATTTCGTACATCACCCATTTAGCCTGTTGTGATTAATTTCCTGCAGGGCCATGTCTTTGAACCTCAGGCAATCAATGAAGTACAGTAGTAGATGTTATCAGCAAAAAAAGGAGCATTTGAAAGAGATATTTACAGCCATGTGTTTTATAAGAACAAATATGATATTTTGAATTGCAGGTATGGAATCTAAAGCCTATGCCATTGTGATGACAACAGATCTGTGTTTACATAAAGAAATCTGTGTTTACAACAATTATTTAGATTTGTTAGGTTATTCAGAAATGGCTTTATTCTATTATGTCAACACATTTTAATGCACTGAAACACTTGTCCTGGTTTTTCCTTGAATAAAAATACATTCATTTGGGGGCATTCCACTGCATCACTGGTCACAACTACTATATCTTTCCATAATTATTTGACTTGTATTTGTTATTCTGTATTTTGCTTTATACTAAAAAGTCTCAAAGCAATTTACAGGTTATACAATAAAACATACAAACACATTAGAACAATAAGCAATAAACAATATAAATGCAGTAACAATTATAAAAGAAACACTAAACCTTCAGCTATAGCATCAATATAATTAAAGTCAGTTTAATATAGTAGTTAGAGTACTTGACTAAAACCTGGATGACGAGGGTGCAAATCCCCACTCAGCTCTGAATTTCACCAGGCGTGCTGAGTTGCACCGTGTTTGGACTTCCTGTGGTATTGACCTTGGAATGAAACCTGATCTATCAAACAGATTTTGGACCTGAATTGATTCCCTGTGTTTGACCCTGGTGTGTTTGGACTGCACACCACTGTATAGTTCTACTGGAGGACAAGTCAATGATACAATTGGGGGGGGGAGAGAAGTAATTATTCTTCACGGCCAGAGTAAGCTCAAGAATGAGCATGCACTTGCATTTGGTTGTATTTGTCTAGAGCCTTTTCTTGCATTCTAGCTGTTTTCTAATCTGCTTCATCAGCCTCAGCTCCGGCTTTATCACAGATCTTTCCAGGCTGGTGAAGTGGAAGAGGGCATGGCAGGATGCATATGTGTCAACCACCCAAGTCATCTCTGATTTCCTCAGATTGACCTAGACTTTGACAGTATCACTAGACTTGTCAGCTGGGAAATCCCCCAGAGCCCTTTGGAAGGCATCAGTCTCTGAGGGCAAGGTATTTTAATTGCTAGTTTGCAACTGGCAGGATGGAAAATGCTAATATGAAGGGTTTCTTCCTAGAAAGCAGATGGCTACCTCTCATGTATACACAAAGATACTATCGGCATCTGTAGCAGACAGTATGGAGGGGGTGGCAGTACACACTGATTTCCCATTGGCTGAGTTCCTGCCCCCATACCAGGAAGGGGAGGAGGAGGGGTGAGGTGGCAGGCAGGTCAGTACAGTGCAAATGCACTAGCAGGAGCATCAGTGCATTTGCACTGTGCTGACTTGCCCACTGCCTTGCCTCTTCCCCTCTCCTTTCCGGTAAGCATCAGCAGCTCAGGTGTCAGGAGATCAGGTGAGTGCTGTACACCACCACATTAACTGATGGGCATAGTTGAAAACTTTTCTAACATTCTCATAAGCAGAGTTTTACACTTGTACAATTCTGTGCAATGTTTAGGTAGCATCTTAATTTACATGCAAGCTTCTTTCTTCTGATTTGGTTAGGCAATATGGTTCATTGGTCTTCCATGCCATCTTGGCTGCACTGTTGCTGAAATTCTGCCTTGGTGCAAAATTGTCAAACTGGGAGTAGGATAAATGACCTAGAGGAGGTGTGTTAGCAAATGGGCAAAAATTGCAGGGAAGCAGATTTCAGCTAAAACATTGGAAGGATTTCAACGTCATGCTAAGATGATCATTCCATCAGGGCAAGCATTTTGGCTTGCCATATGGAGCATCCCCCTCTCCTCTGTCTGCACACTATTCTGTGGGTTCTACCAATCCATCCACCCCAAGCAAATTGTGGGGGGTGGGGCTTATAGTAAGGTTACCAGATTTTTTTCAATGAATCCGGGGACACTTTTCAACTTCAATGGATTTTGTATGGGGACTGTCCCTGGGAAACGGGGACGTCTGGTAACCTTAGCTTATAGGGGGAGGAGAGGGGGAAACCCCATTGCATGAGTTGAAGTCCTCGGGCAGGACTTTCACTGACAGAACTGATTAACTGGCTTCCACTCTGGGAGAAACCTCTTAATAGTACGAGCTGTTTGACAAAGCAGCAGAGTGTCTTGGGAGGTAGTGAGCAATCCTCTGCTGAAGGTATTTAAGCAGAAGTTGCATGACCATCTGTCAGGGATGCTGCAGTTGCAGCCTGCATTGCAGATATTGAACTCAGCAGAGGAAACTAGGTGACTTCTAAGGTTCATTCTGTTTCATACTTTGCTTTCTGACAACTGGGTTTCATAACAATGATCGTTGTCACCATTCACAATTTCTCTTCCTCAGTTTCAACAGCACTTGGACATTAGGGGTGCCTTTTTGGATTGTAGGCTACACTTGTAGCACAGCACAACTAGTGGACCCTAGGTTAACCTGCCCCAAGCTGTAATTGACAACTCCAGAGGCAAGGGAGGGGTGTGAATGAGCAACTTCTGCGACAATGGGAATCACAGCAAGGTTGCTTGAGACTGTGATTATCTACTCCTCTCAACTTATTCCCTTGTCAGAAAAATAGCTGGCAATGGTAGTATAATAACATACACCCTTTCATTCTCTCTCTCTCTCTCTCTCTCTCTCTCTCTCTCTTACACACACACTTACTTTTGTCCCTTTGTTTCCTTTTAGACTAGCGGAAAAATCAACATTGAGCTATTTGTTAAGAAAATATGAAACTTTTTCTATGTGAAATCATGCAGAATACCATTTGTCAGACAAATATCCCCCCCCCAAATCCTGTTACAGAATCACAATGTATAGTTTAACATCTGCCTTAAAATGCATTAAAAGCCAACAACTCAATGTCATTTTCAACTGACTTTATAGTATTGCCTGCTTGATTATAGCTCTCGCTGGGAGAGTAGAGCGTTTTGATATCATCCAACCCCCCAGAGACCCATTCAGACCAGCTGGTTTACTATATATTACATAATTACCCGGCACCTGGAGCAATTTTGAATTCTTAAGAGGCACTGGGGGCCCACTTCTCAAAATATTTACAGCCTTTTATTCTTTTCAAAACAATCATTTACATATTAAAACATGCTATATGCAGATTTGCTTTATTTTTATTTTCCTTTAAAAAATTCCCAGATTGTTTTCAGTGGTTAACAGATTTTTTTAAAAAGGCAAAAGCAAAAAAATCTCTATATGCACCGAACAAAAAATTGTGTGCTTCAATAAAAAAGGAACTATTAGACTACTTTATGAAAATATTACACTGTATGTAGAATATTTCTACAGAGTCTGAGGCTACATCACAAGTCCTTCTTCCAATATCCAAAATATTTTCACATGAATCCAGATAAGGACCGTATGCTGCTGGAGTAAGGTCCTACAGCTGCAGCTGTGTTCCCTGATCCATGGGAGAATGAATTTTGAGAATAAACTAAAAACAAAAGCACAAGGAAGAAAGGAAGGAACAAAATGTTCTGGCAATCAGCTGTTCAGGAGTGGGGAACAAAGGACTTGATTCCCCTTCCCACACTAGACAGCTGCTTAATGAGAATTCTACCTTTTTCTTTTTCTTTTTAAAAGGTACTTCTCATGGAGCCTTGGATACTCCACCCACACTATGATAAGTCTCAGAGTCAATATATATTTGTTTAAAACATGCTTAGGTCAAAAGCAAATGCAAATGCGAAATACTGGTCAGCAATCATTTTATTTTATTTCTCTTGGGGTGATAATTTTTGTTCTTAGACTGCAAATCTATCAAACGAGGATATGTCCTTAAAAGTGAAATTGTTGCCACTTGCCCTGAAGAACATCTACAAATATAGATCAATAATTGCACTCAAAATATATCCTTGTCAATGACTGACTAATCTGCCTGTCAGTTTACAAAATGTGTGATACAAACACACACCTTCTCTAATATGTACCTTAGAGCATTGTATACTGTTGGGCACTCAATAAATGTTAAATAATGGTCACAGCAGCAGTATTATTGTATACATTACTGTATTATGTTCTTTCTAACTAATGACAAAAATATGCTACTTTTAAGTGCAGCAACTATTGACTTTCAGAAATTGGGTGGGGGAGTGAAGCAAGTGAAGTGATTATTCTTATAATAACTATATAGAGCCAGAAGGAAAGTAGTGAAAAGAGCATTAAAAAGCTAATGTGAAGATTTGTAGAGAGAAATGAACCCACTCTGTAAAATAGATAATTGACAGCTGAAGATGGAGGACACTTCATATAGACTGCTCACTTTATGATTTTCCAGCACTAGAAATATTTTTCTATACCTTTCTGAGGGAACAGCTATTACCCTAGATTCAGTCAAAGTATGCTGCCAGTGCAGATATTCCACATGGTTTAGTCTCTTTCATCTTTCTTGGGGTATCACCTTAGATAAATGATTCATAATTGTTAATTTAAAAATATTAATTGCTCTTCATCTGAGTAACACTACAGTAGTTTACAAAATAAAATAAGGTAAATACATATTAAAACTGCCATTTTGGTTGCTGCCAAGCTTCCTTTTAATTTTTTTAAAATTTTTGTCACAATTGGCCAACCTTATGGCAGTTTTTCCATGGTAATGTCTTTGCTCAGGCCTGATGATCTGATGAAGAAGACGAGGCATGAAATCTCTGAATATAGTTCTAGAGGTTTGCTTTAACAAACCCTAGAAGTCTTCTATTCTGGCATGTGATTGAATGGAGGCAAGAAGGGAGCAAGAAATATTTTCATTAGATTTTGTTATTGTTACATCTGAACTGGCCCCAAATGGCAAGTGAGCAGATTTATTAGCAACTCTCTCTAAGCGTCAAAATCAAGATTGCAACCCTTTCCCTCACTATTATTATTATTAGGAAAAGGGTTGCAATCTTGATTTAGACACATAGAGTTGGTAATCATAATAATGATTATTATTTGTACTCGGTCAAATAATTATTATTTGTGCCCCAGCCGCTCTGGAAGGCTTCCAGCATACAGTGGTACCTCGGGTTACAGACGCTTCAGGTTACAGACTCCGCAAACCCAGAAATAGTACTTCGGGTTAAGGATGAGAACAAAATTGCAAGTCGACGGCGCAGTGGCAGCGGGAGACCCCATTAGCTAAAGTGGTACCTCAGGTTAAGAACAGTTTCAGGTTAAGAACAGACCTCCAGAACGAATTATGTTCTTAACCCGAGGTACCCCTGTATATAAAAACATAGCAAAACATTAATCCTTAAAAAGCTTCCTATACAGGGCTGCCTTCAGATGTTTCTTAAATGTTATATAATTACTTATCTCCTTAACATCTGATGGGAGAGTATTCCTACATGCCACTACCAAGAAGGCCTTCTGCCTGGTTCCCTGTAGCTTCGCTTCTCGCAGTGTGGGAACTGTCAGCAGGCCCTCGGTGCTGAACGATGGGGGTGGAGACGCTCCTTCAGGTATACAAGGCCAAGGCCGTTTCCTTTTCCTTACAAGATGGGAAAATATTCCTCCTTGGCTCACCTTATTAAGATATTATTTAATTATACATCTTTTGCATGTAAGAGATGTCAACCTCTTTTCTAATTGTCAAAGCTGCCTCAAGTCTCAGCTCACAAAAGACCAACGCCTATGTCTTCTTATATACAAAGGTGTTTATTGCAGTTCATGGTTTGCTTGACATCCTAGGCGCGCAGCCTTACGTCTCTTACGCTTAGACCGCTGAAGTCCCCTCTGAATCCGTCCCTCCCCTGCACCAATTTAAGAGACTTGCGCTGCTCCACCTCTTTCTCTCCTTCCTTTTCCGCAGGGTCCTTCTGCCCGCTGGGGTTTCGCCCCTCCTGGATTCCTCTGACGCTGAATCCCCAGACTGCTCTTCCCCTCCTGCGGGCTTTGGGACCTGGCCCCTCCTCCGGGCTCCCTGTACTTCCGCGCGCCTCTACATTTGAACTAGGCGCGCGCGCCAAACCTCTAACTTTCCTTTTGACAGTTACACTACTCCCTTCACTGCTCCCCTTCCGGAAGGGCGGCTTGCTCTGACCTCCCTCCTTTCTCTGCTCCCGGAGCTGCTTCCTCTGACACACTGGAAACTCCACCCCCTTCGCTGCACTCTGGTGGGGAGGCTGGTCCTGACGCCCAGCTGCCACTTTGGGATCCTCCGCTGGCCCCTGCTCCTGACACGTCCCCCCTGGGGCTCCCCTGGCCTTAACCACCGGCGCCCCCTCTGGGAATCCTCTGATTCGCTGGAAAGACTCATGGAATCTCTTGAGTCATTGTCATCCTCTTCCTCGCTGCCTTGGAATTCCTCCCCATCGCTCTCCATCTCCTGCCTACCCTGTGCCTCTCTCCCTGAACCCCTGACATCCATCCCCCCCTCGAAGCCCCCCCTTCCCCCTCCGCTGCTCGGG